CGAACCAACCGTCGAACATGTACAAAAACAAGTTCATTATGTGGGATAGTATTATAATCGGATTGGTTTTGTCGTTGCCTACTTACGCTAAACGCAAACAAAGGGCTTAACATGCAATGCCCTTTTGAAACAGGCAAGATACCAAATTAATTTGTTACGCTGAAAATTTTGCGCCAAATTGAATTGGGTATTATTTATACATTTATATCTCACTAATAGTTAATAAAATAATATAAACAGTTGAGTGCGCAAGTGGATCAAAATAAAATTTAATTTAAAGCCAACAATACATATAAACTTAATCCTCTTTCACATTCCAAAAATTAAGGTTTGACTTAATTATGTTGGTATTTATCCCTTATACATAGACAGTTAATTTAAATTTGAAAATACTTATTAAATAGCAATGAAGTGTTAATTAACTTGTATCTATTATTCATTACCACATATGGAAAGTACGTCGCTACGTTAGGTAGTTTCGTGCTTATGTCGACAAGTCAACACAAGCATCGGCTTGAATGATTTATTTCCAGAGCTATACCTACCTTTTCTTACGAATTATAACCAAGCTTTGTTCCCGGTCATTTACATAACGACCATAATACTCGCTACTACATGTAAAAAAAACAGAAATTTTCTTTCACTTTGTTACATTACCAGTACCCCTTAATTTAAATCTGTAATTAATGTTCCGTGATTGACCATAAATCTCTCCGTCTGTGTGTGTTGTACCGTTTTCGCCCAGCAAACACCGTCGTTTAAAAGAGTGGTTATTACGTTCCTTTACACCCTATGTAATTACACACCGTGACATAAAAAGAAGTTTCGAGTGATGTATTGCTGCGGTGATATTGTTACCGAAAAAAGGAGTCAGGTGTAATGTTATAAAGCTTGACAGGTGCGCTATCATGGATAAATCGAATAACACCATCATAAATGTAGCACCGTTGTAAACGCTGTAAATTACAACACCCCGTATGCTAGCGTAGGAGATATTGTCTAAACTGTTGCCATAATTCCTTCGCTGTAATTATGATCCACTGAGATAGATATACGTGCTCCGGCAAAGCACGAATGTTCACTACTTCGAAGTCTGTACATTTAGATTTATACGTAAGGTAAATACAATTACCGAGCAAGAACCGGCGTTAACAATATTTACTTGGTACTACGGGCTACGTAATAACTCAATATTAAACTGTTACAACGCGGCTGATCTACGATCATAGAGGTTATGGTCATGACGCGAATGCAATTTTAGAAATTCCCCCAAGATCTATATTAATTTCATGTGGATTATTACAAGCCAATTCATCTGCATTTCAAGCGTCTTATCAATGTTGCCCCCCACACCCATCCTACGCTAGTGTGTTAAATAAGATTAAAGGTAAACAAGGAGGTAACAAAGACGAAGGTTGACGTCAAAGGAGGAGTGCCAACTAAGACGCTGATGACGCACTATTTATCTGCGGTTGGTGAGAAAACGCGCCAAGTTTCTCCACCGCGGTTGGTAAATTTGATTAATGCTCGGGACGACAACTAAGATGTTAATGTATTTACTACAATCTCCAAGTTAAATATAACTAAGGCAGAGAGAGGGCGTTGTAAGCCGAAATCACCAAATCCCTTCGTAACTTTTCGTAGAAATATCAACCTTACTCCGCGCTGCTCGTATTTTACCACAAATAATGCCGCTTAATCTTCAAGGGCCGCCATGGTTTTCGCTTTAAAAACCTTTAATGGGTCGTAAGCATGTCTGTCGAGACAAACACGATAGCGTGTTTTTACAACTAAATAAATACGTTCAAAGTAAAAACTAAACCGCGACTTAAAATAGCATGACAGAATTTACGTTCCCGATACCTACAGATAGAAGTGAACAAGTTAATGGGAGTCGAAAATAGTTTTCTGATTAACTTACATTAGTATAGGCTAGCACTTAATACAACAGTTGTTACGCGCGGAATCTTCTACATTCCAAAGTCACAATATCACGGGTTAATATGTTTAGAGCGTCTCTCATGTTTGCATCTGGTGGATACCTAATGCATTTATACGAATGCACTTTGCATGTATCCATATACATGTGGCATTATAATGAGGTTTATGGTGCATAAATTTAATAAGGTGACACAATCCGAATAATGTAGTGAGCGCTTGTGTGATATAGATACATAAAGTGGAATACAAAGTGCTTTTAAACTACAAAATTTATTATCATGGTAAAATTGTAATTTATAAAAAATGTTATTTATGAAAATATATATTTTATAAACATATTTGGTGTTTTAAAAATGTTGTCTATAAATGATCCACGATTTATGGAGTGTTTTATTTAATCCTGAATGCATTATTATAAGACGTTAAGACGCACAGTTAGCATTTTTTCTTCCTTATTTCATGTCTTTCTTAGTTTTGGATGTTTTTGTTCTTATTGAACGTTTGTTAAGTTAAATTTAGTAATAAAAGTTGTTTCAGGAAGATGAGTCAATCAAGGCTTGATCCTTTCATTATGATGAAGTTGAATCAATTGCGAGTGATGAAGATGACGTTGCTGAAGACGTTTTTGAAACCAGAGATAGTGATGCAGAGCCGATACAAAGTATGAATTGTGGCAAAGAGTTAGATGACGATGGCTCAACATCGTCAGCAACAATCTTAAGATAATGTATTAGCAAGGACAGCAAAACTTTCATAGAATGTTAGCAATATTTTGTAATGATAATATGATTGATGAAAAAGAAATTTTAAAGTGAAATTTTCACGCAAAAGACACGACAAAATGCACGTTTTACTCCTGAGTTAGAAATAAAAGCTCTCATAGGACTTCTTTATCTTGGGGCCCGATTATAAGCTGAAGTATGAATATATAATGAAGTGCAATGAGCAGAAAAATATATCTATTTTTTCTAAACTGTTTACGTTTTGACGATCACGACACCAGATTAGTCAGAGAAGAATTGGACACATTTGTCCTATATGAGATATATAAGATTTTTGGGAGTATTTCATCGAAAATTATAAAATGCATTATTTCGCCGAAACCTAAATGAAATATAATTCTTCTTTCTATCATGCATTGTGATCAAATAATTGATTCATTAACAGGAGATAAAATGAAACCAGAATTACATACAAAAAGAGCTGTTGATACAAACATCCCTAGAACATAACAGAAAGACCAATAGCAGGGGAGAAATTAATCAAATTGCAAAACTTTTGAACATCAATCTACCAAACAGAAATGCGAGTAACTCTGGCAAACTCAATAAACCAACACGTTTGGCTGAATATGCCATCAAAATATGCAAAAAGCATTTTAGTTTGGAACACTGCCAAATGGTCTGCGATGATCATTGCCAAAATCTTTGAAGTTATTGTATATTGAGGCGCCCTTAGAATTACTAGCGCCTTCAGACGCTGTCCGACAATGCTTATTGTTGCGGATGTGCCCTGGTAGATTTATCTGCAGCGGAGAGCAACTGAATTTCTTATTCCAGCTCATTAATCCAGCGAATCAATCCAGTCCAGTGATGGTCTAGATCTTATCGTTTACATTAAATAGTCATTCAAAAACTGTTGAATCGGTAACACTAAAATAACAATGATTTCAAGAAAGGAGTTCAAAAATTGTTTTAAAATTGTTCAATTATTATCCTTAGAATGGATAATTATTAGAATGGAATTAGGAAACCAAACAATGCGTATTCCCAAAAAAGAACTATGCATGTTCTCTGTTCAACGTATCCAGTACTAGATTGGCGCTGGATAGTTCAATCTAGTCACTGGACTGGATTGCTCACTGGAATGAGTGCATTTCAGTGCCGGTTCATATTATTCCAGTGGAATTTCAGCTCTGGTTTTGATCACTGGACTGGGCTACTACTGGAATAATGTGAATCGGGCATAAGGCAAGAGCGGGACCGATGGATACTCATGAACAGGTTAAATTGGTCACTTATGCTGCGTGGGACGACGAATGGCGTGGGAGATGAACTACAGAGATTATCCTAAATGCAATGAGTTGGTGCGAACAAAAATACGTAGAACGACAAGAGGTGAACAGCCACGCGCGTCTTTACGCAGATGCTGAACATGGATGGAAAGCGGCTCGAGACATTGAAGACTTAGAAAAGATTGCTGATAACTGACGATATTATGAGATCTATTAATAAAAGCTATAAAGGCTACGATATTGATACTTTTTAACTACTCAAATGTGTTTGATTGTTTAAATTCCCATATTAAGCTATGAATTTTTTATCATTTTTAAATAGAAAACAGAGAAGTATTCTATCTATACACGGACGCTTTATTCTTTTAATCAATCTGAAAACGAGAGCGCCATAGTTAGGGTCAATCAACATTTAACCAGAAATTATGAAATACTTATCCAAAAGTCCTAAAGTATATCCAAAAGTCTATATATGGCGGAATGGTGTTGAATCAAAAGAAACGTTTGCATCTGAAGCTACTGGTATTGCTTCGAAGTTGTTCAGATTACTAGAAATTTGGGTATTATAATGGATGGTTTGTTCGAATATAACTCTTTGAAATACCTATTGCGCCCTTAAACTCCTCAACGCCCATAAACACATACATAGTGTGAATACAAAGAATGTCTTAAATAACACATTGGTTGTATTTACTTTTAATTAGTATGATTTCCTTTACATTTTCATTTAACAAGTTTAATTTTTTCTTTTCTTGAAGTACTCGCTCTTAAGTTTATTTATTGAAGTGTGCGAGTTTATTTAACTAAATATGTATCCTTAAACCACTACCATTTTAAACAATAACGTACTGAAAACAAACCTATTTAAAACTTGTTTAAAACAACATTTTAATTGGTTAATTTGTTTGTGACGATGCAACGCGTTTACCGCTTTTAATAAAATGAAATTGTGAAAACATATTTGTTTTTGTTAAATAAATTAAATTAAAAGGTATTAATAAAGTGTTAAAAAACATGTAGATATCTATTAATGAAGTAAACTTACCTCGAACGTTGCTGAAATGTTCCAGAACAAGGATCAAACATACGGCGATCGCCAATCCTAGTGGTTTCCGGGCCATCATCCTCTTACCACCTGCTCGATCCCGACCACAAAGTCACAAACTCTCAACTACTTTGAAAGGCGAACCACTCGCCCGGCACTTAAACATCAATAAACATACTATACCAAATAGGGGCACAAGAACTAACCGAACACGAGTCTAGAGCGATCGAATACCGAAAAATGCTGCGCTCGAAGCCGCCCTTTGGCGCGCCGGAAAAGTTTTTCAAAAGTTCCGGTACAACTCTACGCGTTGGTTAGAATGACATCCAACAAGGGTCCAGGACGCGTACTGCAGTTTGATGTTTTTGGGTGCACTTCACGCTATCCGGAAAGTTGGTCGAATTTCTGAAATCCTAAGACGGTAAAGAAATGATCTCCGTTTTCGATGAAGAGCGTTTCGGCGCGACCGACGATGTCTGGCGCGTAACTGAAGCCGCCCCGTGAGGTGATACGCGCGGTGGCGCGCGCCTACCAATTGCAGCCCCCACTCGCCTCGCCAACACCCCTTTTTGATCCCTTTCCTTTTTGGTGAGTAGGAAGGATGCTTAAGTGATGGCTCTCTTACCTTTCACGATGGACAACGGAAGATTTGACGATTCAAGGATAATGCTCAAGATGCCGTGTTTACTTACTATCCGATTACTACACCATAAAAAGACGAATGAAATTTTTAAAATACTTACTCTTACTTCAAATCACTTAATATTACCAATTATTTTCGTAGTACGTATTTAAATTATAATATGTTTAATAATATACAATATACAACAAGCAATTTAACAAATCATTTGAGAAAATATTTACGTTCAGAAATAAAATAAAATTTCTCTTTGTAGTTTGCTTTATTCTTTCTTCAAAGAAAGAAAAAATTAAAATTTCTCACTGTGTTTGTTTCAAGACAAAGTTTGGTTTGAATAAGCATTTATTAGATTATTAAAAGGAAGTTTAATTGAAGATATCTAATATCCTATAAGACACGCTTTATAAAAGGAAATCAAACAACGTACTTCTTGGTAATTAAAAGTTTCTATAACTTGTATAATAAACTTTTTAAATATCTCTAACAATGCAGTTATCATAAGGAGTAGAAATCTTGAAGTCACAAGAAATTGAAATCATTTAAAAATAGATTTCTGCGTTCAGCCACGAATACTTCATACTACGTCAGGAATGCAAACATGCTGGAAGCTATAGAGAAGAGCTATAAGAATAGCTGTACGATATCCTAGAAGACATAAATTCAAGTTGGTCCGAAGTGTTTTAAGAAATAGAACGTATAAAAACTCATAATATATTACAAGGACGATGATAAACAAGTTTCAGTCAGTAGGAGTTTAGTCCAAACCTGACACTACTTTGCCGATGATGGCATGGTGACTGTTAGCAGATTGCTAATCTCCATAACTAACTCAATGAGCCCATCATTGTACACTACCGATGATGAACCACCGCCTGAGTGGAGATAAAAAGAAACAACATCAACTGCAGACACAAAGAATAAAGTGACAAACAGAATGAGGATGATAAACAGAGAACATTTGGAGGAGATGCAAAGAGATGGAAAATGACAATAAATGATAATACATATGTCACTCAACAAATATGGCAAGTGACAATAAGTTGCTGAAGTTGGGGAGGAGAGTGACTTACAGAATAACACACCGAGGTGTATAATAAATTTCAACAGGGCGTATTACCTCCAGAGAGCTGGAGAAACATCACTATTAGTTTAGAAGTATCAGTATTCCACATTTACAAAACGGAACATCCTCAGATCCAGAGAATTATGGAGAAATTTCCTTCCTAGAGGGATAGACGCACATCCTTGAAGCTTTTGAACCCATTTCCTTCACACTTTATCCAAGCTTAGAACTGGTTCAAAACTACCTTTGAGGTGTGTTTAAAAGTCAACGGATCAATGAAACATCAACAATGATAATAAAACAAAATAAACCAAAACACTTAGAATTCCACGTTTAAGTCTCAGCCCTATATACGTTTCTAATGACATTTAGTGTTTTGTCATATTTTCCCCGGTTATTGGTTTATCTTGAAAAGTCAGGTAGTTTAGTCTACCCCATAGAAAAAGGGGTGAAAGCAATGTGGGTTTTGCTCGAACCAAGTATGCAAGTTTACACCAGCTTGTTGAAAGATGCTTCATGCATCCATAGCATTTGTGATAAAACGTTTGTATTTGCCCGAATCATATTTAAAAGTCAATGATAATAGTTCAGTCTGTTATCATAATCGGTATATGTTACGGCCTAATGTAAAACAATGTGGTGATACATATTATTCTTTTGAAGAATCTTACGGACAATTGTTTTCGGGGTTCCCAGATAATGTGGGATCGTATTGCGCACCAATGTGATTTACGAATTCATAGAGATGTCTGAATGGGCTACACGTTGCCAGTTTCCCGTAATCGCTAAGCCAATCTTAAAAACACTTCTAGAGAAAAATATCTTTCTTTGTCGTAATTGCATTGCACATTTTTGTCATGCAGTTGCATCATATTCGAAACATTGAAAATAAATCATCATACGCTCTATCATACACTTCTGCGTTAGTAAATGACATGTTTACAGTTACCATGGTTATGTGATTTGTTTTTCTCGATGAGGTAACTGGATCCGATTGATGGCACTCGAGTTTTTAACATTTTCTTCTATAATTTGAGAACGGATGGCGATATCGAGATGCGGTTTTCACTAATATTTAGCAAATTTTAAGGTCACTAAGGGTCTGTGAAGTAAATAGTACCGTCCCATTTAATTTTTTTTTTAAATCACAAAAATATGTAATCGCTGCAAATAACGCCCTCTAGCATATTTGTTTTAACCCAAACGGTCTTACTGAATATGTTTTAAAAATCATTAAATGTTCTTTCAAAAAAGAATGAAAATATTTAAACAGGACACTCAGTATAAGATGATTGATGTAACATGAAGATAAATGTAACCAAAACAAAATCTAAGGTAATAGCTAGAGAACCACGCAGATGTAAACTAGAAGTGAACGTCTACATGATAGAGTATCAGATGTGGACAACGTGAGAAAACATGTCAACAAATCACCCAGAACTAAGCACGACCATCTGGAGTAGCAACTGCAAATCAGTGTAGACCAAAGTGAAGTTATACAAGTCCAGCGTCAAGCCAATATTCCAGGGGTGCCACGGTGTACCAACGAGAAATTCGGGAGAAATGCGAGATGAAAGATGTGGCACGCAGATCGTAGACCAGTATCTATTAGGTTTATATGAGATTGTACTGCCTGAACGGAAGTCCTGGGCCGAAAACGAAAATTCTCTGGTTCAGGCAGATATTTGCATGTTCACAGATGGATCAAAAACGCCGGAAGGGGTCGAAGCAGCAGTATACTGCCAGACACCTCGAATTAAGCAAGCTTACAGTCTGGGTACGTACTGTACTGTATTCCATGCTCAAGTATTTACTGTTGACATGGGTGCTAATATCCTTCTTGAGAGGGGTGAAGAACATGACAGTACGACTTTTCTCAGACAATCAAGCCGCTCTCCAGGCGCTGCAAGCCGTGAAAACGGTGTCGGCTCTGGTTAATGACTGTGAGAGAACATTAAACACACTGAGTTGTGATAACAGAGTTTCTCTGATCTGGGTACCAGGTCACTCTGGGGTTGTCGGCAATGGAGCGGCAGATGAGCTAGCACGAGAGGGCAGCGCTAAAGCGTTTCTGGGGCCAGAATCAGCAGTTGGTGTATCATTTGCGATGGTCAAACATAGGATTGGACTGTGGGCTCAAGAGAGACTTCGCCTACTATGGACCAGTTCTCCTGGAATGAGGCATGCTAAGGAGTTGCTCGTGGCAGCATAAAAGTTCTAATGGGTGTCTTTTCTGGACACTGCCGATTAAAACCACACCTCAACTTGTTGGGTTTAGCCGACGATGTTGAATCCCGACTATACAGAATGTCCCGTATCTTCCGCATCAGAACATTATATATGGTTGTAGGATACATTGTTCTGAAGCGATCTTTCTAATAAATTTTTTTCGAAATGTTTATAATAACCGCACGGGAACAATTTAAAGTTATCCGCTATTGTTCAACAGCGGATGATTTTGATTCACCGAAACAGTTTACTTCTGTTTCCGTGTCGAACCTATTAGTGAGTACACGTGGGAAACGAGTTATCATCGGCGTAGCGGACCGGCGAGGGCGGCACCGATTACCTGAGTCTGATTTGCGATCTGCTGATTGTTCGACAAACAGTTCGTTTAAACAGTTCCCGTCCGGTTATTATAAACATTTCGAAAAAAATTTATTAGAAAAGTCGCTTCAGAATAATGTATCCTTCAACCGTATAATGCTCTGATGCGGAAGATACGGGACACCTGTATACGGAGAAAGCGGAGACGGTTGAGCATGTTTTATGCCACTGCCCTGCTGTTAATCGTATCAGATTTTCGATTTTTGGGTCGCAGTTTATCTCTGCAAAGGATCTGAATGACCCGTCTCCGAGCAAAGTATTAATGTTCGTTAAGAGCATTGGACTGCAGGGTGGAATTTGATAACGATACCTATCGGGGTACAATAGATCCTTAGGGTCGCTGTGCAAGATTGGTTGGTCCGCGTACCCGATATGGAATCTATGTAATGTAATAAAATATAATTAGGTCAACAGAATGACTTCCAAAAAGATTTAAAAATAGCTGATCTTCCGCATCACAAGAAATGTAGGCAGAAGAGAATAGGTAGAACAAGCATCTATGGCTTTCGCAAAAAAGAAGAAGAAGACATTTCATTGAACACTGTCTGTCAGAATTCCTGATGTGGGTATTTCCACATCTTGTTTCAAGCCTCGGACTTCTTGACAGCGCTCTGGTGAATAGTTGACCTATTGTGCATAGTTGATAGCTAAGACCTAGTTCCAATTTATTTTTTCAAAATGATTAATTAAATCCCTATAACATATCCGACAACACATTGCCCCTGGTACGTTTACGCTGGTATCCCATTTTCTCGACGTATGTCAGAGGTTGCCCATATCTTTACCCCATACCGTTAGGATCAAGTTTCGTATTCATTCTTGGGATTGATTTCGATATTGATTCTTGTATATTTCGAGTTTATAACATTATAGTACTATAGTGCACTTATATCAATGTATTTTTCTAAACTTTAGATGTTAACAAATTTGTCAGTTCAAATTGAAATTGGTGCAAGTTCAATTCAATAAATTAAATTGATATTAATTGTAATTATGTTATTCAATTTAAACTTATTAAATTATAATTAATTAATGACATTAAATTTAAATAGTAATTTCGTCGAATCAATTAATGAAAATCAATATCATCTTTCATATTAGAAAATAGTTATTAAACTAAAAACAAAAGGTATCCCATATCTTAGAGTCTTGATGCAT